CCTGGGCTCTACCTCCTGGTTATTTTTAGTCTGCCTGTATCCTTCTCGGGAGGTCAAAGCATTGATCACACTTAAATAAGACCAGAACAATAAATTTCCCATCTCCTCTCTGCTCAGCTTTCCTCCAGTACAAAAGTTTGTCATCCCCCAGACCAAGAGCTGTAGACTTCCCTTTTTCCAGAGACCATGACATCATCTTTCTTTTCCTAGGGACTTTTCAAGGACATTTTTCCTCCAGAGAAAGCCCCCATTGGGATCCTGTTAGCTGTTTGTGATTTTGCTCACTCAGAAGGAGGTTGGAGGTGGTGCTCAGCAGAGCAGAGGGAGAAGTGAGAAGGTGGCGGTGACCTCTGTACCTGTGTGGGAAGTGGCTGCTACTGAGGTCAAGAATAAGGGCTTTGGCCAAGAACACAAGTTTGGGCTGGTGGAATGGCTCAAATGGTAGAGCACCTGCCTAGCAAGTATGAAGCCCTCAGTTCATACCAAAAAAATAAAAAAAATTTAAAAAAGTTCACAAGTTTGGGGCTGGGAGTATAGCTCAGCCATAAAGTGCTTGCCTAGCATGTGAGTATGTGGTTCCATACTCAACACTGCAAAGAAGAGCATGGGTTTTGTGTCAGGCAAGTATGGATTCAAATACTGGTACCCATACTTCCCAGCAGAGAACTCTGGGCTCAGAGCCTTTTCTCATCTCTGCAGTGAGGCTGTTAGTACCTTCCACAAAGGGCAGCCTTGGGGGTAGATGGAGGAATGTATGTGACATACCTGCCCAGGGTCTGACACATAGTGCACCTGTGTGGCAGCTCTTTCTGGGGTAACTGCTGCCAGTTTTGTTGTTGCTGCTCCAAAACCCTGTGTCAGCACAATGTCAGGCAGAGGTGGGGAGGAGAGGCAGATGACCTGGGTCTTAATCTAAAGTTCCACCTTGGCCAAGTCAGACTTTTTGTCTTTTTTGAGACAGGTTCTGACTGTGTAGCCCAGGCCAGCCTCAAACTTGTGATCTTTCTGCTTCCACCTCCTAAGTGCTAGGATTACAGGCATGTACCTCGACACAGGCTCATTTTTCCTTTCTTTGAGCCTTGGTTTCCCATCTGTAAAATGTGAAGGTTGAATCAAGTAGTTCTTTCTGCCATAAACCAGTCCTCTGGGAAATCCACAGGAAGCACCAAGACAATGTGGTATCAAAGGAGGAGAAGATGAAGTGTCTTGCTGTAGAGATTTTTTGCCCAGGTGGCAGGGCCTAGGCTGGGCAGCCAAGTCCATTCTTGACAATTCTCCATCTTTCTATACCAGGGTCCTTGGCTGTGTCTGTGGCTGACATGACCGCACCTGTCGTGGGCTCTTCCGGAGGGGTGTATGCACTCATCTCTGCCCATCTGGCCAACATCGTCATGGTGAGTGGATCCTGTTCCCTGCATGTCTTCTCGCCTCTCCTTTGCCATCACTGGGCCTGGGCATTCATTCATTGGAGCTGGCCTGTCAAGTGCCAGATAGAACTGACTGGTGGCAGGGTTCATCCATGCTTCTCTCCTCCTTTGCAGGCCCATTTCAACTGGGTCCCTCCCATACCAGTTCATATTTTCTCCAGTCATGGCTTGGCCTGTGAATGTGCCTGTCTCCCTATTTCACCTGTTTCCCATTTAAAATGTGTTAGAATTTAAGCCTGGTGCAGTGCTCAAGCTTGTAATCCTAGCTACTTTGGAGGTAGATATTGGAAGGATCTTGGTTTGAGTCCAGCCTGGGCAAAAAGTTCATGGCTGGGTGTGATGGCATGCACCTGTCATCCCCAGCTAGGAGGATCATGGTCCAGGCTGACCCAGGCATAAAGCGAGACCCTATCTCAAAAATACCCAACACAAAAGAGGGCTGGTAGAGTGGAAATGATATAGTGCCCACCTAGCAAACGTGAGCCTGAGTTCAAATGCCAGTACCACAAAACAACAAAAAATCAACTCAGCTGGTGGAATGGTTCAAGTGGTAGAGCACCTCCCTAGCAAGCATGAGGTCTAAGTTCAACCCCAAGTACGGCACAAAAGTGTTCATTAAGCCACTAGTATGCATGATCATTAGGATGCAAACAGTTCCTTGTTTGTCATAGATTGTTAAAAGTAACAGGGCCTTGGAGAATATCTCACCCAAATTCTCAAATGGAATTTGTTAAGTGAATTTCCCAAAATCACAATCAGGTTGATTGTAAAATCAAGACTTGAGTCTATGTCTCCTGACAGCCCTTCAAGTGTTGGTCCCTTGTACCAGCTCCTCACGATGACCAGACTCCGTTCCATTTCTCTTGCTTCTCTTCGCCTTTCCCTGAAGGGCAGCACCGCTGACGGTCAGGAGCGTCGGCAGCATAGTCTGAATCCCAGCTACCACTTAGACGACTTACTGCTTTGTGCCTTGGTTTCTGCATCTGGGAAATGGAATTACATGCATTAAATGAAAGAAATGAGAGAAAATGAAAAGACCACTTAAGATAAATGTTAATTTAATTCCCTGCCCCTCATAGAAGAGGCTAAGGCTCAGCTTAGACAGACCTTCAAGGCAAGAAATTGGAATGAGTCTGATGGAAGATGTTGAAGCCCCTTTTTTAGAGGTGGATGGAAAACTCGTTGGCAGGGCCTTCTGCCCTGCTTCATGTCCCTGCTGGCCTACAAAACTGCAGGCCTTATACACCAATTCCCTGTACCTAGCCTAGAGCTCGCCTTGTGTCCCATGCCCACTAAGTTTTGGGGAGGGAAGAAAAGAAGAGGGGGAAGAATGGGAGAAAGGATGGATCTTGCTCCACTCCCCTCCTCCATCACTGTGTTTCCCCACATGGCAATTATGGGACTGCTCAGTATAGCAGATTTTTAGACAGGGTTTCACTATGTAGCCAAGGCTGGCCTGGAACTTGTGATCTCCTGCTTCAGCCTCCTGAGTACTGGGATCCATGCTTTCTTGGTCAATTCCATTCTCAACTGCCACACTTCCAACACCACCCCTTTTCATCATTGTTCCCTTTGTAAATGGAGAAAGAGACAGAAAGAGGAGAGAGAGGCAGACACTCCTGAGAGAAGCTCCTGGCCTGAATTCTGGCAACTTCCAGTGAGTGCTTAGAGAGTGTGGGTACAGAAAAGCATGTGTGAATGTGAGTGTGTGTTCGTGCATGTGTGTTTACACACACAGCTCAGGTGCTGAAAGCTCGAGAGCACAGGGCTGCCCACATGGCCCTCTTAAATGGGTCATTCTTTATCAGTGTCACATCTTTCCCCAGACACAGCTTTTCCTTTGAATTCTGCTTCCTCCACTCCTCCTCCCCCTGCCCCAATTCCTCTCAGTAGGGATGGAAGTACTGGCCTCTTCTTCGCATTCCCGAAAAGTACTGGCCTCTTCTTCGCATTCCCGAAAGATGTGGATGTGGATGTGGAGGGGGGATGAACAGGCACAACGGAATGAGAACAGGGGAGAGAAGAGATAAATAAGAGTTCATAAAGATGTGCTATTCCATGCCTTTGCCCTCTCATGAGAAGCAGCCCAGAAGTTCCCATGGAGAGGATGGCCCACCCAAGATTTGGGGGCAGGGTATGGGGGTCCAGGGAGGTGTGAAAGCAGTTTGGTTCCAGTTTACACTTCTGCCTGGGCAGACAGCCATGGCCTGTGGCTGTGGTGATGCACAGTCTGATTGAGACCCCACTACGGCTACAGGAGGGCTCAGAAAGAGACTGAGAGGGCACCAAAGCTTTCAGGAAACAAGTTTATTAAGCAAGCAAGCAGTGACTCAGCAGACTCGAGTCCAAAGGCCGAGCCCCAAGAATAAAGGAGCTTTCCTGTATACCATTTAGAGCAGGTTACAGAAATGGGAGGGGAGGCAGTAACAGATTGTCCTACACATAATCACATGTTATTTCATTGGCTGCTTTAACCTCTGTGGGGAGGTGACTCTTCTCTGGTCTCCAGGTAACATTCCCCACTCTGGTTTTTCTTTGTTTTACTGTAGCCCTCATTAATCTCTCTTCCCCTCTCCCTGCCTTCCTGCCACATTCCCCCCTTTGATGCTCAGACCCACTTCTGGGTCAAAGAGCATCATCTTGATAAAGACCACAGTTCCAGGGGGATTAAGCAGGGTAACATCAGGCATGCTTTTAAGACAAGGAACGTTGTCCCTGTTAAGGTCTTGAACCCACCTAGACTTGAGAACTAGCCCTGAATAGGTCACTGGGACGCCATCCCTTTCAGATCTGCACAGGGACACAGGCAGGCTTTTTCATCTTGTTGGTAATCTCTTTAATCAGCTTTTTTTTAATCATCAATCTGTAAACAGCAGCTACTCAGATTGAGAGTATTTTAGGTTATTGTAAACTTAGGGAAGTTAGCCAGTGGGTGAGGTTGGGGCTCCATGTGATTGGAATCTCCTGAGTAGCATCATTATAAACCTTTTGTCCCAAGCAGATCAAGTCCCCTACCAGGGTGGAGAATTGGCCTTTTGGACAGGAGGTACAGTAATTCCCAGTAATAGAAGTTTGTAGGAGCCAAACAGTCCATGGTTGGGGGAATGGTTTCATTAAAGGGCTGTTGTGGGTTTAGTTTTTTTTTGCCTCTCACGTTCAGTGGTCTCCCATATTCATTTCCCTACAAACATCACTTGAAATTATATTCAGAGTTTGTGCTATGGACTCAGATAGTGAGAGGTTTTTGGTTGTAACTAAGATGGGAAACTCACTTTGTATTTCCTTGTTAAAGGAGTGAAAAGCCTGGTATGAGGAACTCTCATGAGTGATCATGAAAATGTAGCAAAGTACTGGGATCTGTTTCCTTTTTTATAGATTAAAATGCCAAACTTTTTCCCAACTTCCCAGCCTGTTTCTTTGAGGCTGAAAATAGTGACATGTACAGGGTTACAGGCACCAAGAGTGCAGTTGGGGGTTGCTTCCCTTTTTTGTAAAAGAGCAGCAGTTCCATGTGAGGTATGGACCTCCCCTTTAAGCCAGTTGCCCACTTTTTACAATCCCAACAAGGGCAGTAGAGTTGTTCATAGTAAGCACAACCAGATGTTTCACTGTCATCTTTTGAGCATATATACTTGTCATTTAACCTGTAAGTCCCTTCCCAGGCTAGCCCCCCACAGTTGCCCTAAGGCCCGGTGTTTTCAGCTATTGCAGCACACACATACACAGGTTTGGTGGGGTCATTCATCCAGGTGTGGTTAATGAGTTTCCCAGTGCTGGTGATGCTTTGGACCTCTAGCCATTGCTCTTGAGGGCAGTAGATGGGGTTAAAACAGATATACTGACCATCGTGAAAGCACACTGAGTGTAGGTGGTATTGTTGTGGGTGCATGAACCAACAACTGTGCTTGCACAGGAATAATAAGTTTGGAAAACCAGAGTTTTGGAAATAGCACTCCCTGCTTGGGTAGACCATATACATGAGTTGTAATCCAAAGCATGGGGATCCCCAGGTACAGAGCTGACCAAGATTAGCAAGAAGAAAACACGGAATGGACTCATCCTCAAAGGTGAGATAGATGGCTCCTCAATCTTCCACTGTGCTTAGACTAGTTAGTTTCTGGAGTGACTAGAGCAGGGCTGACATCTCATCGTCCATGGTCTCCTGGGAAGCAGGGTATGATGAGGCTGGGTCAGGGATGCATTTCCATTTGAGTGAAGCTGGCTTTACTCAACTGTGGTGGATCCAGGGAATGATCTCTGCTACTTTAACTGGGGGGTGGGGGGTGGACAAAACAACAACAAAAGGACCCCTGCAGTGGGGCTTTAGCAGTTGAACATTCCATCCCTTTACCCAAACACCATCCCCTGGTTTATAAAGGTGCATGGAAGTTGTCAGGCTAATGGGGAGTCTCTCTCCTACCCAGTCATTGGTTTTTGAGAGTCAACCTGAGGGTTTGCATCTGTTGTTTTAAGGTGGGGTCACCCTTTTTTTTATTTTTTATTTCTTGCAGGCCCTTGAGTAAAAGGGATGGACACCCAAAAATAATTTCAAAAGGGGAGAGACCTGTCCATTTGGTGAGGCCTGACTTAATCCTGAGCAAGGCTATGGGCAGTAATTGATCCCATTGTAGATGGGTCTCCTGGTATAGTTTTTCTAATTGTAATTTTAGAGTCTTGTTTATACTTTTTTTTTTTCTGAACTCTGGGGCGCTAGGCCATGTGTAGCTTTTAACTGTACCACCTCAGCTACAAAGGCAGGCCCGTTGTGTGACCCAGTAGACACAGGTATTCTGAATCAAGGGATGATTTTCTTTAACAGGCACCTGGTCACTTCTTGGACTTTCTCAGTCTGAGTGGGGAAGGCTTTTATCCATCTTGAGAAAGTACAGACAAACAGCAGCAAATATTGGGGGGTTCTGGCACACAGACTGTACCTTTCACATATTGTCTTATATTGGAGAGCTTGG